CAGAACTGGCGGTCAGTTTCAGCAGCGGCTGAATCTGGACGCCAGTTCTGACTTACATACAGATTCAACTTAAGAACAAACCTACAGTCCCTATCTTGTACGTAACCCGGGGACTGCCTGTAGCTAATACCAATTTGAACCACTTTTGACTTAAAAAAAAATACATCTACCCTTATATCCCCATGGAAATTTTGTGGTTCCATTTCCTTTCTTCATGTTGCAAATAAGCTACACAAGCAGGAGAAACTTTTTAACCCTAGCAGAAAGCCATTGGAATATAGGGAAAGTTCTATTTTTTCCATATACTGTAATCTAAATCTCTTTTTACAGTTTTCTTAAGTACTACTAGTAGTAACAGATAAAGAATTTTTGGGTATGTGGGTATAAGTTGGTTGTAAGCAGTAGTGTAAAAAAAAGCACCAATGTGAGTAAGATCTGGCACAATAAATTCTTCATGTGTATTTTTGCAAGTTCTTAAGACTTAGTGCAAACAGCATTAGTTAATTGAGCCTTTTTGCATTGAAGTGGCTATTTGATCTTAGCCACTGTAACATTTCTGAAGGAGCCATTGCAAGTTTTTATATTTTACTTTTTGTAAACCCCAAACTGCAAACATTTCTTCACTTGCTTGACTTTTCTCTCATGGCAATTCCGCTGAAGTCTGTGGAACTGCGAACATGCCTAAAGTTAAGCACATGTGTAAGTGCTTGTAGGATTCGGAGCCTTAAGTTTTAGATCATTAAATAAAGCAAATAAGGTTTTTGAAGATCAAGGTGGTTCCTCTGTGTATTTAAAAACTGATGTGTTCTGTTGATAGCTGCTTAGGAAGTGTTGCAGCGCTTTGCGAAAGTCAGAACCCCCCAAATAGATACAATCACCTCTAGCAGGTCACCTGTTGGTTTTAATGGTGTTGGATCAGGTGGTTGTTTGTAATCCATGATTATATCACTATAACTGAGTGTGAGTTACGAAAGTTATAGCTTAGATTACACCCTGACCAATAAGTGAATAATGAATGCATTTTATCAAGTAATCAAGAGTGAAAGACGTAATGTATAGAGCTATAAAATCTGTATTCCCTTCCAGATCTATCAGATGTATTTAATAATTGTGAGAGATGCATTTTCTGTAGTTTAAATCTTGTTTGAAGAACAAATTAAACATGTTTTAGAACAAAGAATACCTTTACATATACATTCATTTTGTGTGTGCGTATTTTGAGTTGTTGGTTTTATATGTGATTAACTGTTTATAGGCAAAATTGAAGAGGTAGTGCTTGAGGCTAGAACTATGGAGAGAGATGCTAGTCCTTACAAAAAAGATGAGCATTTTATTAACGGATTACCTAATTACACAGTAGAGATCAGAGAACACATCCAGGTAATTACACTATTTTCTTTATGCTAGTAGATACAACATATTACCTAAGAGGGAAATCTGAATTCTTTATAGTTTCAATTATCTCTTCTTTTCTAAGATCAGAGAAAGTAAAATTATAAAGCAAGCTGGAACTGCCATAAAAGGTCCCAATGAATTTGTTCAAGAAATAGAATTTGAAAACTTAACCCCAGGAAGTGTGATAATATTCAGGTATATGATGATGATTCTCTACTTACTAAATGTGTTAATTGGCTGTACTAGTTTAAATGGATTGGTGTTGGGGGGTTTTTTTAGTCTAATTCCATTACTTCAAAAATAGTGGTTAGAGCTGCTAACTTCTACAGTTTGTGCACTGACATTTACAGAGTTAGCCTTGACCCTAAAGCACAAGAGGCTGTTGGTATACTCCGTAATCACCTGATCCAGTTCAGTCCTCATTTTAAATCTGGAAGTCTTCCTGATGACCAGTCAGCACCTATACTAAAACATCTTTTTTCTTCGTAAGTATGCCTTACATTTGTTAGATTACATCTAGTAGAAAGCTAGATTAGAATCAGAGATCAACCTGCCAGTGCTGATGAATTATAATTTCTGGGTCTATTTTAATTAATGTATGAGCAAGTATGTTTAGAAAACTCGATTCAGAAAGTAGTGGTTCAGACTTTAAAAAGTCTTACCTCTTTCATATGAGTAGTTCTGTGTTCCCTGATGATTGATTTTTCTGCCAGGAAATTTTACATCTTTCAGAAAGGTGTTCAGATGATTTTATCAACATGGCTTTTTTAAACTCTCACAGCAGTCAAAAAACTAGTAGATATTAATTATGTACTTAACTGCAATGATAAAAAAATCTACTATATAGTTAGCATTATAGAAAGAAATGAGATTTCTTTTTAAAACCTTGTAAAAAATGAGATTTTTGGGGAGGAGGTTTGTTCCATTTTAAAACTAACCTATAGTTATACTCTTATATCCATACTATGGTTTGTAAATAAGTGGCCAGATTTTTTGGAAGTCATTAATAGCTGCAAGTTGCTTGCTACCCTTGAAAATCAGCCTGTTTTCAGTAGTCTAAATGTAAGCATCCCTCTTTAAATAATAACTTGGCCTAAACCATAACTAGAACTCATGTCCATTTGTATACTGTAGTTAAAAATGTTGGATTTTTTTCCCTTTCTTAGTATTGCATCTAAATTAACGTTGGCTGACTTGAATCAAGTACTTTATCGGTGTGATGCTGAGGAACAAGAGGATGGTGGAGGATGTTACAACATACCAAACTGGTCACCCCTTAAATATGCAGGCTTGCAAGGTAATATTTTGTGCATGCTTTTTTTGGTAGAAGAAAAAAAGAGAATGGATCATATCAATCAAATTAGTTAGATTTTGTGCACTTCTTTTCAGATAGCAAAGACCAAGTTGCCTCTGCAAATGGGAAAGTAAGATACTGAATCAAAATACACACTTTAATATTGGGGTGAATGTAGGTTAAATATTTAATTTACAATCAAACTGTAGTAATCTTTGGGAATCCTTTGAAACCAATTCAAATAGGTTTACCTCTTGTCAAAATGGCATTATATAAAGCCCAGAAATATTATTTGGTACTTGAAGTGTCAATAATGGCTGCATTTTAACATCTGAATGCTATTGTGTGACTTCCTAATTATCTGAATTTTTAAAATGTAAGGAAACATGGGCTCTTTGATTACCCAGTATTTGTCTGAAATTTACTGTGGGTCCACTGAGTCCTAGCAGGTGGATTGGATCCCTTCTCATTGTACAGTCAAGTTACAGCTGCAAGTCACTACAGCACAGTTGAAGGAGTCGACCAATCTGTTGCCTTTCTCAGAATGTTCTGTTTCTGCTAGTGGCTCTGGGAAGTTAAATTCCTAACTTTGCTAGACAATAAAACTCATGATATTAATAAAGACATGGATTTATGGCTCATTACAACCATCTAACCCATTAACCCCTCTCCCCCCCCCCTTTTTTTTGGTTGCATGACTTATAAAGGTTAACTGTCCAGTTGACCTTAAATAGTCTCTTAAAACAGTGGCACACAAACTTTCCCAGTAGTGTCCCCCCATAGGGATGCAAGTGAATAATCGACTACTCGCTTCCCCTTGCTGCCACCATGAGAGGCAGCAAGAGGGAAGGGGAAAACAGGAGCTGGTGCTGGGGAGAGCTGGCTTAAAAGGGTAAGAAGTGGTGGGAAAGGGATAGGGGAGACTTCTCTGGCAGAAGTCTATATTTGCAGTAGACAGGGCTGGCTGCTGCGAACAGGGATTGCTGGACTCTGCATGAACCGGGACCAAGCAGTCCCAGCTCACACTGGTCCGGGATGCCGTTTATCTGCATTTTAAATATAGTAAGAGCCCAGCGGGATGGCTCCCTCTGTGACTGTGCATAGCAGTCCTTATTGACTAGTTGTGTAGTTGATATAAATTGTATTGACTACATGATTAGTTAGATAACTGCAATTTATCATCCTTAGTCCTTCCCCTCGTCATTAATGGAATCTGTTTGCACTCTTTACCATTGACCATTAACAATCTCTTTGGACTCCCCCTCCATAGCCAAGGCTTCTTTAGCAGTGGGCTGCTTCTACCTTGCAGCCAGGCTGCAATACTAGGGCAGGGCCAATACCTGCCCTACTCCCCCTTAGATTTTTAGGTGGGTTAAGATGCATCTGATGGTCTGATTTATAGGCGAGGTAATCTACTGAGGTGAGGTCAGTGTGGAGGCAACATTCTCTCTCTGTCCCCCAAAGGGGCTGACTTGGGTTCTGTCATGTGGGGCTGGCATTAATAGTTTGGCATGTCCTCTCAGTACCCCTTCGCGCAAATGTTCTTCTGTGGCCCCTTAGGGCTGCGTGCCCCACAGTTTGCACAACACTGCCTCAGAATTAGGGATGTAAGCAACTAGTCGACTACCTGATAAGCATTAGCTGATTGGGTAATCGAGTAGTGACTGGACTAGTCACTTGGGCCCCCATCTTGCTACCTGTATCAGAGAGAGGCAGCAAGGGGGGGAGCAGGATCCAGTTCTCCCCAGCACCATCTCCATGGGGGGGAAGCAGAGGCAGAGCGGGGACTGAAGCAGTTCTGACTGCTGCGCTTCTGCTTTTGAAATGTAGCAAGAGCACCCTGGGACTGTTGCTACATTTCAAAGTTGAAACGCTGCAGTCAAACGCACTTGCCTCATGATCCCTGCTGCCCTTTTGCCTTTTAAATGTGGCATCTCTTACTACATTTAAAAGGCTGAGGTGCAGCCCGGGTAGTGAATGCCCCACCTCCCCTTTGATGATTAATCGAGTAGTCAATGGCAATTCCATCGACTACTCAACTAGGTGATTAATCGAAATTTAACATCCCTGTTTGGAATGCATCAACTACTTATACTGAACAACCTGTTCTATTTTTTTTTTTTTTAATCTGGGACACTTGGAGTACCTTTCTCAGTCTTGAAAAAGAGCTCTGTGTAACTTGAAAGCTTTCACCAACAGAATTTGGTCTAATAAGAGATTCCCTCAACCACTCGCTCTCTCTGCTAAGCAGTGCACAGCAGCTTACAAACCTATTTCTTCAAAATACACAAACATATTTAAGTATTTAGAGACTCCAGTGGGACTTCAACACATGCCTAAAGTTTGTTAAGCATATGCTTAAATGCTTTGCTGAATTGGGGCTTAAAGCTTATGAGGAATAATGATGGGTTGAAAAAATCATTACTGATCTAGCTCTGTTTAAAATTTTTCAGACTTGAGATGTTGGATTTATTCCTGGAAACTGGAATTGCTGTTTGTGATAATCGAATGAAGAGTAATACAGTAATGCTCTTTGAATTTTCAGGATTAATGTCAGTGATGGCAGACATTAGACCAAAGAATGATTTGGGTCATCCTTTTTGTGCTAATTTGAGATCTGGAGATTGGATGATCGACTATGTCAGTGGACGTCTAATATCCCGTGCAGGAGCCTGTGCAGAAGTAAGTACATTTATTAAGTATCAGAGGGGTAGCTGTGTTAGTCTGAATCTGCATAAACAATGAGAAGTCCTGTGGTACCTTATAGACTTAACAGATGTATTGAAGCATAAACTTTCGTGGGCAAAGACCCACTTCATCAGAGGCATCTGACAAAGTAGGTCTTTGCCCACCAAAGTTTATGCTCCAATAAATCTGTTAGTCTATAAATTTATTAAGTTATTTTTCTTTCACATATTGAGAGGTAACTGTTACCATATAGATCAGGGGTGGCAAAGCTTACTAACCCTCTGAGCTACAATCCTCAGAAGTTTGAGAGCCAGAGCACACCTTACACAGCTTGGGGCTTCAACTCCATAATCATATCAGAACAATGATTACTTTTTTTGGAATTGTTGTTGACCGGTGTTTTGCATATGATCTAGTGACCTCCAGATATCTTTCCAGAGTACTCATCACTCACACAATGGGCATTTTGTAGGATGTGTGGAATTGATTGTTCCTTACTAACTTTGCATTTATCCTTATTGAATTTCATCCTTCAAACCCTGTCTATGGTTTGTCCAGGTCATTTTGAATTTTAATTCCATCTTCCAAAGCACTTGCAACTCCTTATAAACTTATTTATAAATATACTCTATAATGGAAAGTTTCTGCCAACCAGAATAAGTGCTGCTCCCAGTCATGCCTATGATCCCCAAAAAACAGGTGTAGGCAAACTAACAGGAACTCTACCTGTCTTCCAGTACAAAGTATGACTGCCATACTATTAGTCTCCTGAAAGTAGAAATTGATAACTTACAGAAGTATTATTCTACTAGGTTGGTAAATGGTTGAAGGCCATGTTCATCTACCTAAAGCAGATTCCACGTTACCTTATCCCATGTTACTTTGATGCTATATTAGTGGGTGCATACACAACTCTTCTAGATCTGGCATGGAGTCAGATGTCTAGGTATGTATAATAGTGTTGAAAGAAAAGTATGTGTATGTTTACATGTTGTATTATCCATTTGTGCATCAGAAACAATCATTTAAACGCTTTACATATGCTTTCTTAAAAGGTTCTCTACAGCTAACATTTTATTATGCCTTGAAACTGCAATAATCTGATTAGACTCATAAAAAGGTATTCTCTTTAATTAATCTTCCAGTTCAGCGCAAATGTTAAATGCATAAATGCGGTATGTCCCTTTGGGTCTCTCAGCTGCTTAATGCAGTGGCCACACTATATGGATACCTGCATAATAGTACTGATGGACAAAAAGAAAAGCTGTCAAACGGCAAAAATAAATATTCTTGTTGGTTAATGGAAAAGCGTAAAGCTGATAATGAAAACTATATGCACCTTCTAAGGGAAAATAATAGATGGTCAATAATTTAGTGTTGCTCTAGGACTTGGATTTACCACTGGCAGTGCAGTAATAGGAAATGGGACATGGACACAAGGTCCACCTTCCAGACTTCAAAGCTGCCTCTTCTTCATTACTTTAAGATGGCTTGACCATGGTTGCATAATAAAATCATATAAGATTAGGATTGGAAAAGAATTTAGGAGGACATCTAGTCTCTTCCACCTCCGCCCGCACTCAAAGCAGGACAAACCCCAACTAAATCCCAAATGGAGTACCTCTGGTCAGTTTTGTCAGCAAGAGTTGAAATTGTGCACCTGCAATTTAGCATGTTTATTATTTCTACGGCAGTGTACATGCATAGACCATTACAAGTACTGTTGTGAATCTACTATACGTCCAGCATGACTTCAGTTAGCCATGAGCTTTTGTGGGCACAACCCACTTCCTCAGATGAATGGAGTAAAGGGGTATGGGTTGCAAATAAATAGTAAAGAAAGGATGGGGGGGAGAATGGAGAAAAAAATATTGTCAATTAGAGTGTTCTGCTAAATGAGGCTAATATAGTGGGCTGTAAGTATTCTGAGTATCCACAGTACAATTACACAACGATCACATTTCCACCACCTTATACTGGAAACCTACCAACAGTTACACTTACCTACATGCCTCCAGCTTCCACCCAGACACATTTCAGTCAATTGTTTATAGCCAGACCCTAAGATACAACTGGATTTGCTCCAGTTCCACAGACAGACAAAAACCTAAAGAATCTATATCAAGCATTCTTAAAGCTTAGAGACCCACCCAGAGAAGTGAAAAAACAGATTGACGGAGCCAGATAAGTACCCAGGCATCAGCTTCTTCTAGACTGGCCCAACAGAAAAAACAACAGAACACCACTGGTCATCACCTACAGCCCTCAACTTGAACTTCTCCAGTGCATCATTAACAGTCTACAACCTATCCTGGAAAATGACCCCTCATTCCCACGGGCCTTGAGGGACAGGCCAAACCTCGCCTACTGATAACCCCCAACCTCAACCAGATTCTTTCCAGCAACCACACAGCACGCCAGAAACCCACCCCTGCAATCAACCCCCGTACCATCTCTGTCCACATATCTATACAAGCGAGATCATCACTGGACCTACCCACATAAGCCACCATACCAGAGGTTCATATAACTGCACATCCACCAATTTGATCTATGCCATCAAATGCCAGCAGTGCCCCTCTGCTATGTATATTGACCAAACTGAACCGTCTCTGTTACAGAGGATTAATGATAGAAATGTAGCCGTGTTAGTCTGGTGTAGCTGAAACAAAATACAGGACTATGTAGCACTTTAAAGACTAACAAGATGGTTTATTAGATGATGAGCTTTCGTGGGCCAGACCCACTTCCTCAGATCAAATAGTGGAAGAAAATAGTCACAACCATATATACCAAAGGATACATATCTTTTGTCTTGTATCCTTTGGTATATATGGTTGTGACTATTTTCTTCCACTATTTGATCTGAGGAAGTGGGTCTGGCCCACGAAAGCTCATCATCTAATAAACCATCTTGTTAGTCTTTAAAGTGCTACATAGTCCTGTATTTTGTTTCAGAGGATTAATGGACACACATCAGAGATTCAAAGTGGTAACACACAGTAACTTGTTGGGGAACATTTCAACTTGCCTAGGCACTTACTAATGAATCTGAAAGTATCTGTATTATTTCAAAGCAATTTCAAAAGTCCCCTGGAGAAAGAAACTACAGAACTGGGTTTCATTTACAAGTTTGACACCTAGAATAGAGGTTTAAACAAAGACCAGATCTGGATAGGCCACTACTTTCCACATCCGAATGACACAAAATGCTAAGCATCGGGCACTTGAATAGTTTATAACCTTCTCTATTAGCCTCATTTAGCAGGACACTCAATTGACAACATATTTTTTGTCTTCATTTTTTCCCCCTATTCTTTCCCCCCTCCATCCCCTCTCTTTTTCTGCGATTTATTTGCATCCTGGATGCCTTTACTCCAGTCATTTGAAGAAATGGGTTGTGCCCATGAAAACTCATGATGCCATCTACATTTTTAACTACTCTCTAAGATGCCACAAAACTATTAGCTTTTGTAAAGTTTTTTCCATTACAGACTAACATGGCTACCCCTCTGAAACTTTAGTAAGCCAGATGTTCATTTATCATAGGTGTGACCAAGTTTCCTGCAGCCCCATCAAGTTTGTTTGCAGCCACCAGTCCTGGCTCTCAGTGTTCTGTGCTGTTATCTTGCTTTAATTTACCACTAAATGTCTAAGAGCCCAGTAAGCAGTGGAAGTGTTGGCAATGCTGCTAGACAACATTGAACTCTCATGATTCAGCAAATTCTCTGGCTTGGCAGAGGATGCCAAACTAGAAAGGTTCAACCTGTACCTTGGAATTATATATGCTATCAGTGTCTCAGTTAAATCCAGTACTGGTTGTCTTTAACAGTGGGTGCATTTACACATTTAATTCACTTTATGCCAGTTACTGTATATTGAAGCAACTTAGTTCCTTTAAGGATGACCTTACTACTTGATGTGTTTCCAACTAAAAATAATATCTGTGTCACGAGGTGTGAATGACAGTTTTGATAATACATACTGTACTTAATACCAAGGAGTTAAATGTTGTTTATATTATGTCTGTTGCTTGCGGGAATTTCAGTAACTTTTTTTTTTTTAAATATCCCGTTCTAATTGAGAACATATTTATAAAATACACTGAATAGTTGTTGTACTACACAGTTTTATGTGTAAAGACTAATTAAAATACTACGCAATATACAGAAAGTTAGCAGTTTTTAAAGGATTTTAGAATACAATCATCCCTGCACAAATATATATATGAAATGCAGCATATTATCTTAATATATTTAAATATGTTGTATTTTTTTCTTTTTGGTAATTTGTCCCTTTTCTTGATTTATTTTGTTTCTGTTCTTTTCTGATTTTAAACATGGATAATATCACTCTTCTGTAAAAACAGATACCAAAACTGTACCAGGACAGAGCACATAATATTGGCAGTTTTGGGACAGTGTCATTTTTTTTGTTGTACTAATCAAGAATGTATTTTATCATCTTCTTTCAATGTCACTTTAAAAAAAATATAAAAGCTAAAGGCCCAGATTTGAAAAGGGGAATGTAAAATAGGGGCTCAAATTTTATCTTTAGGCACCTAAATAAATGGCCTGATTTTCTAAGTGCTGTGAACTCTGCAGCTCCCTTTAGTGTTAATTTTACGACTTAATCATAAAATCACTCATTTTCAAAAATCTTTTCAACAATGTTTTGCAACTAGAGCACTCTTGTTGAGCTGGTTTTTTAAACTATGGCAAGGGGGGAAATAGGTGAACTTTAAACAATGAAGTTGCTGAATTTGAGAAGATAGGTTTTGTTTCAATTCAACTGCTTTGATTACAGCTTTGTTCAGAATGGATCAACATTTGTTAAACACCTGGCTTTGGGTTCAGTCCAGATGTGTGGGATAGGAAAATATCCTTCTCTGCCAAATTTGTCTCCTGCTTTACATGATGTCCCCTATAGAATGAATGAAATCACAAAAGAGAAAGAACAGTGCTGTGTATCTTTGGCAGCTGGTAAGTAAGGGCTCATTCCATAATTGTTGAAGCAGGTGGTTTTACAAAACAATGCAACTACTTAGCACACTGGTCTTGCTGGGTACCTGTTTTTGACGGAATATGTGTGAACACTTTAACTTTTGCTGTGTCTTGAACTATAAGCAATATGAGCTACTCTGTCATCATCTTAGAGTATATTTTTAAAGTATATAGTAATATGTGATTTCTGAACTAACTTAACCTGCCTATTTCCAGACACATTTGTCTGTCTAGAATATTTTAGAATCTGTCTAAAATCTGACAATTCTTCTGGGAATTATTTTTGCCTTTGTTTCTTTCAATGTAAGTTTCACCTCTTTTACAAAAGCATTTTGGATGTTTTTAGCCTTTCTACATTTTATAGGTTTTATAGCTAATTGAAATGGGGCTTCTTCATTCAAAAAGGACAAGTAATTTGTTTCTAATCAAGTAAAACAAAAGTATGAACCATTATAAGACTCATAATGCTTTATTTCTAACAACAATATATTCAGAACGTTGTCCTGCTTCATGCTGGCCTTTATTCTGTAGCAAGCTCCCATGACTTATGTTGCAAATCATCTCTGAATTGTTCAGTGCATTGAAATTCCATGTCAGCATGATTCTACCCAAGTTCTTCATTCACTTTGGAAATGGGGAGCCCTACCTGGGCCAAAAGTAACTCACCTCACCTCCAACATCTCTTAGGACAGTTGCAGAAAGCCTGGGATGCCTCATGTAGTGAAACTGTGCAGAGCATATATTTTTGTAATGTTCCATAGGTGAATTTTTTTTCAAATTTCTTATCCTGACTGATCTACACACCTATTTAAGGTGCATTATCTAGAAGAAAGTGAGTGTGTGCCGTACAGTGTGTATTGTAGGTTGTAAATAGTGAGCTGATGCCAGTATAGTTGCCCCATAATTTAGACAATGGTCAGAACTGGAAAACGTTTTAAATTTGTATTTGAGCCAAAGCACTGAGTTGGTTCAATATTTTATTTGCAATCCTTTCTCTTCCCTCCCCCCGGTATTAAAGAACACTAAATCTCTTCTGAATTTTTTTTAAAGGGAATAGGATTATACACAAGTTTTCATATGCATATTGAAAATTTGTATTTTTTTTATTGTCAATCTTTAGACATATTCAGTATTTAGAAAATCAGTAATAATGAATGACCACATTTTTGCACTTCCATGTACATACAGAGATTGCTTTGTTATCCAGCACTTGTGGGGAATGTTGGTTGCCAGTTACTTGAATGTACTAGATAACAAAGCTTATTGCTCTGCTCCGACCCCTACCAGCAGATCTGGCTCCTGGTAGCTTGAGGCAGGTAGAGGGGAAAGGAGGCACCTGCTGATCACATCAGCTTGCAGTGCCAGCTGTCAGAAGCCCCACAACAACCATCTGGGCAAGTGGGAATTAGGTGTGCGCACCTGAAGATGTGGTGGTATTGTGGCTGGGGGCAATGCTAGTTAACAGAGCTTTCATTGTACATTCTGAGGAATGCTTCAGTATATGTATTCATAGAAAATACTTACTGTAGTTTTTAAACATCTAAGACTGATATAAATGAAAGAGACTAGAGAAATGTTTTTAACTACTTGATTTGCATTTTGCTTATCTTCACCCTTTTATATATAGTCACTTTCATATTTCTTCCCTGCTCTTTGTCATTTTTCCCTTGATTGTATAGGTCTCTCAGTGACTGAGACCTTTTAAAAAGAAAATAGGTCTGTAAAACCCATATTAGCAGTGGGATTCAAAGGCAAGTATAGAACTTGAAACTTATTTTTTAAGCTGACTAGATTTCAGCTGACATTCCCCTTAACTTAAAAAAATGTACACTTTCTGGGCCTCAAACTCCTGGTCTTCTTTTTACAGCTTTGCTGACTGTCCCTCTCTTGCTCAAAATATAGCCCTCCTCCACACTTAACTTTTATCCCCTGTTCTAACAGAATTCTACTAGTGTAGTTTCTGGTTTCTAAGCAATGTTCTTCATCCTTTTCTCTCTGGTGTGGCAGCACAGAATGGCTACGGTACTCTTTACATGAGTATATAGGTGAATAAACTGGTTTTGAAAAAGGGCTTGGGATTAGTATTCCATATATACATGTTTCACTTAAATTTTGGTTATCTGTTTCATCCATGGTCCTTGTACTGTCTGACCTCTTAACTTACTATGGAAACAATGGAGTAGAAGGACCTACATGATTGATTCACTCAGCAACAATCATATGCTTTATCTAGACACATAGCTATAACTTTTATCAGGGAAATGGTTAGGTTCATTTTTATGACACTACACGCTGAAACTCTTAACCAGGATTGGTCCTGCCTTGGACAGGGGACTGGACTTGATGAACTCCTGAGGTCTCTTCCAGCACTATGATTCTCTGATCCAAGCAACATCCATGGTCCAGCACAGGTGTTGCAGAACCAGAATGTCCCCGGTGGAAGACCAGTGATAAGGATCTCTGTAGGGCTGACAGGGCAGCAAGCTGTCCACAGTGACCTGACAGTCCGGCCACTCAGCGCTAGACAACAGGGCTACCCAGCGGGGCTGGGAGCTGTAGTAGGTTGATGGACAAGGACTCGTGGAGAACACATGCCTAGAGTGTCCTGAAGCCCCAGTGCAGCACATGAAGCTGCCCTGCAGGTCCTGGAGCTCCAGCATGGTGCATGCAGCTGCCTGGAAGGTCCCAGAGACCCAGCATGGGGATGCCTGGCAGGTCTAGGAGCAATGGCAGCGATGGCTGACCATTGGGATCAGCAGGAGGTGGGGAGCTGCAGCCAGGTTAGGGGGGCTAGTGGAAGGGGGTCCAGAAATTACGTCCCCTGGTCTGGCAAAATCTCTCATCCAAGATGGGTCAGGTCCCCAGCATACCAGACCAGGGAGGTCCAACCTGTATATAAAATTGCTGCTGTTACATGTGAAAGAAAATGGCTCAGAATTGGTCCAGTTGTAGTGGTTTTGGTGTGTAATGGTTGTTGTTTTGGTTGCCGTTTACAAAGCTTCTGATTTATGATAGATAACTAAGCAAGCTGTTAGAAATGAGGACCAGGACTTCACAGAGCTCACAGAGATTTTGCAAAAATATCTTTGGACACAATTTGAATGGTCCTGAAATTTGGATTTGTATTATATGGGCAGTCACCACAAATTATGGGTCAGATTTGGTGGCACAAACAGGACAGAACAGAGGCTTAGAATTTAGTTTAAAAGGTAAAAGCACCTGCCTCACAACTCTACTCCTGTGTCTAAGCTGAAAGTTGCTACTTGTTTTCGCCATGAATTTACTTCCATCTTAATAAGCCTAGCAGTTTGTCACTGTTAACTTACACTTTTGAACTCGAGGTCTGTTTAATAAAAATAAAGTTTTAAAAAATGATTGTACTTAAAATGTGGCATTCATGTTGGCAAAATATATTTTTGATCCTTGTTTCCTTTTTGTAATGTTTGGGCCTTTCACATTCAGAACTGTGTTAACATATTAGAAATGTTTGAGTTAATTTATTAAACAATATACACATCAGTAAATGAAATGAAGACTACTACAAACATTCTTCTCTCTCCATTTGGTGCATGGGTGAAGATCTTTCATGTTAAATAATCTAATTACTTAGTTCATCATGTTTACTCCATAGGTTTACCACATTTTTCATCTGGAATTTTCCGCTGCTGGGGAAGGGATACCTTTATTGCACTGAGAGGTGTGACGTTGATTACTGGGCGTTATTTAGATGCGAGGTAGGAATAAATGTCTAACCATCTTCTTGGGTATTAATCCATCTTGAAAGAGCTCTCTTTTTTTATATATTTCTGGAAGAAAGAGGTAATTTTTTAAAAACAATTGAAATGCACTCTTACTTATACTGTGCCTCAGGCCTTTTTTGAGCTCTTAGCAGATAGACCTGCAAAATTACTTAACATGAATCTCAGTTGTCTTTAAATGTTTGTGAAGCACCTATTCCATTTCTTATGCATAACTTCTCCAGCATAGGTAGAGCTTATTCTAACTTTGAATGTCATATCTGCTACAGGGTTTATGTAATATAAAATACTTTTATCAGTGATAGAAAACAGTAAGTTTGAGAATCTCTTTGCAATCAGATTTGTGGTGTGAGAAGGTGTCTCTCTCATTGTGATGTCCATTAATATAGCTATCACAGCTGGAAATGAATGTTTTGTGGATCATTAACTAAATTTTGTATGTGCAATGTAAGTCTAAAACCTAACAAACAGAAAGATTTTGCCAGATTTGTAGGGCATGACCTTGCCACTAGTTAATTTTAATTTGTTGCTATGAAGTATTGGTACTGAAGTGAACAGAGAATGAAAGTATGGATTTCTCAGGTTGACACATACATAAGTTTTTCATTGAGAATTAATCTACTTTAATTACTCTAATTGGTTTTACATTTGTATAAAGTAACTACTGGGCTTACCCTGCAATCCTTTCTTAGACCCTAACATTGCAAAGGGATTCATAGTCTATATGGTCCCTTATACCAGCCTGTATTTCTCTTAAAGACAACTGGATTCCAGTAATGTAAGGGTTTTCAGTATTGGATGTCATTATGAGACTTCCTAAAAGTATAATCCTGTAAAGTCAATGGAGGTTTTGGCTTATGGAAGGAGCCCAAGACCGGTCCCTGTAATGAGAAATCTTCTGTATTCCCTTCTCCCCCATTGGCTCCCTTCCTTCTTGGAAAATATTAGAAAACAATATCACTTCAGTGTCACCGATAGGGCCAGACATTCCTTTTGAACTTTGCAAAGAATCAAGGCTTTATTCCGTTATGAAATTCCTAAGCTATTGGGTGTATTGTTTTTGTTTTGTTTTACAAATACAGGACTTTGGATCAGGATGTTACTTTTAACATGTTGTGAAAGTAAAGCAACTTTTCTATATTAGCCAAAATGTCGTATTACCTTTTATTTAAAAAAAACGGTTGAGCATACACTTGAAATCTATCCTTTTATATTTGCTTTGGTTGGCATTAGTGAATATAAGGGGGGTTATTTTTTATTTTTTTTAAATCTTGTATTATGTGTAGTCATCTTTGTAACATGAAACACTAGGATGTTCTATCCTAATTTTCCCCCCACCATCTCTTGGTATAAAAATATATTGTATTTTTTAGTTTACTGTTTGGAACTTGCACTACCTTGAAAACCAATTCAGTGAATATCGGATCTCTTTTTCAGGAACATAATTTTAGCATTTGCTAGTACTCTGCGACATGGACTTATTCCCAATCTACTTGGCCAAGGGACCCATGCTAGATTCAACTGCCGTGATGCTGTGTGGTGGTGGCTTCAGTGTATACAGGATTACTGTAAAATAGTTCCAAATGGCATAGACATTCTCAAGTGTCCTGTTTCCAGAATGTATCCTACAGATGATTCTCTCGCTCAGCCTGCAGGCACATTGGTAAAGATCATTTCTAATAAGCTGTTCACATACTACAAACATAACTGTAAGTAAATGAAACCCTAAGAAACTCAAAAGAATCTCTATTCACCATGTTTTTCCTACTACTTACGGAAATATTCTTGCAGAGGTCAGCTTTTACTGGGGACAGCATCCATAGTATTTTGAGGGACAGTGTTGGCTTATTATTGGAGAGCTACCTGGAATATTATAAAAATAATCTGTCATTTTTGGTGGAATGTGATGAAAACAGGGATGTTCCACATTTTGGTTATTTATTACCCAATTCAGTGACTCATATTAAGCACCTATTAGATGGTGGCAAATAAGGCTTTTTGAAACCAGGGCAAAAAAGTTCCCAGTTTTATTTCTAGCTTTCTCTTTTTATCAGCATTTGAAATGTCAAGAAAGGTATTTTAAAAAAATATTGGCCAACTCTATCAGAGGTGCGGACTGATTCTTGCTGGATTGCTTGTGAAGTATAATAGTCTGAAGAGCTAAAGTACTTGTTATCTCAGTATTTCATACAGCCTCTCTGTCTTTCTCTCCTGTCACCCAAAAAACCAGGATCAACCACTGTATGAAGTAATACAGGAAGCTATGCAACAACACATGCAAGGCTTAGAATTCAGAGAAAGGAATGCTGGTCCACAATTAGATCGAAATATGAGGGATGAAGGTAACTTGTGTTTCTTAACTTATAGTGAAAAGTTCAAATGTGAGTAAAATTGTTGTACAAATTTATTTTCTTCTATTGTTAAACAGAATTCTCCAAATCCTTTTTTACATTCAGTGCCTCTAACAATGTAATGTTATAAATGTATTAATACTTTAATTTCGGCTATACTGAAATTATACTCTGGCATGAGTATTCTGTAAATAGTACTATTACATCCATTACAAAAGCATACATGGTGCTTCTTTACCTTTTTCTTTCTGTGATGCATGAGAAACAAGCTAACTTCATACTGACTTTCTTGCTGGATAGGTTTTAATGTGACAGTAGGCGTCGACCATGAAACTGGTTTTGTCTTTGGAGGGAATCGCTTTAATTGTGGCACATGGATGGATAAAATGGGAGAAAGTGAAAAAGCTCGCAATAAAGGAATTCCAGCTACGCCAAGGTACAAGCTATAAGATGTATTGTATAACTTTAGGATAAGTCAAAGTTTAGTCTCTTGAATAGCAAAATCCTTGCTCTTGGTTCCTGTGCCATCAGTAATAAAACGTGCCAAATATTCCAGGCCCTTCTGACCTGTATTTGACTCTTTTAAAACTTTAACAGAAACATTCTGTATACCATGCAGGCTAAGAGAAAAAGAACATTGCAAAATATTATCTGTTAACATACTCAGTTCAATATGCTATTTAAACATAATGCTAACTCTTCATGTCTGCAATGTTGTAGCACTAAATTTAAAGTGTTAACTATTTAGTTGCCGTAAAGAAATTACACAGGAATATTCTCTGATGATGCTTGTTGTGGGATTTGAGTACTACCATATGTGTAAATATTTGTAAAGCTTGCTTGCTTGCTTGCTTGCTTCTCCCTCTCTAATGCTAATATTAAAATGTTAGTTAAAGCTCTTTATTCTGCTTGAATCTGATCAATTTTAGATAGATGAAACTTTTTTTTAAAATGTTGTACTATGTGCCTGTAAACTGGTGCAGACTTTCTGTTTTTGACACAGGACAGGAGAAATGAGGTTGCTCAGATCAGTTGCAGTTGTGAGTGGGAATCCAAAAGAAGAGTAATTGAACTTAATTGATACTATAATTGCAAAGCTTTCAATGTCATTCAGTTTTGTGGAAAACCATGTCAGTTTAGTTCTTTGATAAAAGATTAAATGGTAGTCCTGTATATATGAAGGCCTGAATTCTTCAAGGCCTCTGACATTTACTTAAACTTTAAATAAGATCTCTCTAAAGGAAGGGGATTTGTTCAGCAAAAATATACATTGTGTCTTCTGTAAACTGTATATGCACACCCTAAAAGTGAGGTTTGCCCTTCACAACAAGAATTCCACAGCATGGATGCCAGGCATATTGGATGACATGAGCCTTTTGATTTTGCTAGCAGTAGGTGCCTATAATCAGATACCTCTGAGAGAAGGAATGAATCAAGGAAATATAGCTTCTAGGGATGTACAATCCCTGTTTAGTTAATCAGTTAAACATTACGTTTAACTGGTTAACCTAGTAAATGGGGGTGAGGAGTAGGAATGCTCCTGCCAGGCTGGAGGTCCCCTGCCATCCAGCCCCACAGGTTAACCATAACCGGTAGGCATCACTTGATAAGGGTGATGCTTACTAATTAACCAGTTAATCATTCGTATCCCTAGTAGCTGTGTAATTTTCACCTGAAGTGAATGTCAGCCAACGGTCAGGGCAGTGTGTGTGGGTATGTCTCCCAAGTCTTCAACTGCTAAGACACGAAGTCTCATCGCAGTGGGCAGCCAGAAGGCTAAAGGGAGCCCTGAAAGTTTTTAACGTCCGTGACTTTACTGCTAGGACCGCGGTCCCTTGCAGAGGGTAGCCAACAGGCTAACAGACGCCCCGGTGTGTAGGAAGAGCTTATTACACCTTAGATTTTAGCTGCTAGAACACAGTGGTTCCTTCGCAGCGGGCAGCCTAGGAAAAGCTGGAAAGGTGCCCCAATGAATCTTGTCACCTGGGAGTGACACAGATCCAAACGCCCAAGCTCTCCCTATGTCTGTCCCTTTATGACCG